GAAACGTGGTCGATTTCAGGAGAATAATGGACCGGAAAAATGTTTCTCAGCGAATCAAAGCACGCCATTTGGCGGAAGTGACGCTTGCAATAACAAAATAATGGCAGATTTCCCCTAACCTCCTGCCAATCTATCTGCTCACCAGTAGTTTCAGCGTGAAAATTCGAAACAAGACTTTAAACACATCACGCCACAATGTTGGAGAAACGTGTTCCCGTATGTTTTCATGATTTCAAACATCACGGTTGGGCCTCTAGTTGATGGATGGAAAATAGCTCACATTCAAAATTATACAATACATACTAATCCTATGCAACCGACAACTCAATATTTCCACCATACCTTGTTCTGACATCTAGTTTACATCGGTTGATGATACACGAAAGTTCAAAGGACTGGAAACCAGCCTTTCACTGAGATCTGTCCTGCTCTGATATCCCAGCATTCTCTGCTCCGTAGTCTTTAAATATCTGTTTTATAGAAAAGAAAACAGACGCCATTGAAAAATGCTACACGAAAAAGCGATTGAAATAGATAATTAGGATTTGATTTGATCCAAGTGGTTAGCTTTGATGTGATTTTACAAAATTCAAATAAATTTAAGGTGAAAAGAAATAGATTTGCAATTGTCATTACTACAGAAGTTTTTCGGAAAGAATTTGGCGCAATTTCATTATCAGTCTTATTGCTTCCATACTCGTGTCAAGAAACTTGCGTTGCATGCGAATTCCGAGAACACGGCAGCATCTTGAAGAGTCGATGGTCGCGGGAAAATATTTCCTCAAAATCGTGGCTGAAAGAGAATGGGGATGTGAAATTTATACTGATAATCTTGTGGGATAAATGAATCTGTCAAAGCTTTGATTTACAAGTGACGTTGAAACAGTAGAAAACAGAGGCTAGAAAAGTTTAAAAACTTTGCCTTTTGACACGTTTTCAACTAAAAACTGTTTCATACATTTTATTTCATTTCTCCATTAACTCTCGTTTAATTATCATTCATGAATCATGAGAAATCCATCGACTTTATGGTAAATAAAGTTTACCTTGAAAACTTATACGAATATGGCTGAATTACCAGGAAAAGAACGAACACATAAAATTCTTGTTGCAAAATAAACGAAGTTCTCCGTCACATCAAGAGAAACACATTTTACTTAAGCGATATTCAAATTCAATTTGGATTAATTCAATATTTTACAGATGTCTAAGTCGTTTCATGCTTGAAACGGATTCACCATCATTTCTTCAAACATATGCAATCATTTTTATTTTAAAATTTAAAATTTGCACCGATACAAGAACCTCACCCAGAGAACAACAGACAGGTCGGCGGTAAGATTAAAAGAAAATCTCCTTCCTTAAACTACAAACCTGTTGTTTGAAAAAGCGAGTTCCACGATTCCTTCATCATGATCGGACGCAACCAAAGAAAAACGGAAAACATTTTTCCAACCAGATTTGATGTTTGCGGCTTGCGAATGAACCATTTGTGTGACACATCCGTACGACCTCGAATTGTGGAAGAACTAAAATGTGAAAAATCAGTTGTTGATTCAAGCAAATCGTAGACTGAAAATTGCAGTCCTTGTTGCCAAGTTCATAAAGATATTGAAGAAAATTTTAATCAAATCCTTCCAATTATAAGAGACAAGACCAGAGCGATTGATCGAAAGACGTCCTTTGTAAAATTCGTCGTAAAATTATAACTTGGAAAAGAAGCTACAAAGTCTGCCACAAAATTTTGTTTATTTGAGAGAAAGATTTTCAAGCTGCAAGAAAATTTACATTTTCTGACAGAATTGACTCCTGCATAAACTTACCTGTTTTCTTCATTATGTGTAACGAAGAGGTCGGAGAAAATCCTTTTGGGAATCGAGTGGCAATTCCCCTTCCAAGAACTTCATGGATAATTGTCGCAAAGAAGGGCACAACTTCTTTATTAGAGTTACAACCACATTAAAAATGACACATGAATTATCTAAGATGGAAGTACTATAGTTGGTAGAACATTGGAGATGAAGGCATTGATTATATTGTTTTATACTGAGATATGAAAGAAACTAGAACTGTGTTTTAAAATATCATCATAGTTCACAATTGATCTGATAGTGTAGTTCATAGAACATTGAAGACAATGATTATCTTGTTACTATACCTGAGTACATCATAACAACGTGATGTTATTAACCATAATATCAAGATACAGTCTTAGTCGTTAATAATTACTAACCTTGTTATAATGATCTCCCAACACAGCCCATATTCGTGACCATTGCGGAATACGAACAATATTGTAAATAAGCAATCTACGATCTTCTGCAGACTAAACATACGTATCATTGTAGGATTGGAAAGCTGAACTTCCGAGACTTGACGTAAACCTTCCACGAAATCGACTTAGGAGAAAAGCAGAAACATTTTGAGATTTGGATACAGAGAGATAACGATACTTGGGTTGAGAACTGGGGATTTGCATACTGGGGATTTGGGACACTGGGGATTTGGGATACTTTGGGATTTGGATACTTGGGTTTTGGTATTTGGGAACAGGGAATTTGGATACTAGAAATTTGGTGCCGGAACAACAATGGTCAGTGAATTATGGTCAAGTTAGATGTATAAAAATCTTATGTAAGATGCATTTTAATGTATACATGCAAACCTACCGATAGCATCATGCATCAGTTCCACTGATCCCGTGAAAACTCAAACGTAATAAAACACAATGAAGAAGTTGAGATGAAGATATTCTGCTGGAGAACATAACGCAAAGACAGTTTTGGGAGTTCTTTAAAATTTATTTTCATGTTTATATTCAAGGTTCTCTGGTTCACTTAAGCCTGGAAGATGACTACCGCTAGGATGTCAAAACGTCAGATCAACAATAACAATAACAGTCCTTCTCAGGACTCTGCTAACGGATAATGAACATGTCTACATAGAGAATCATCCATCACATTTCTTGCTGTTACAAATTGCCTCTACCTTGAAGACAATTTTAAAGATTTCGGCGGGGAAGGAAAGCAAAGAGCGCTGGATGGAGGAGGTGAATATTTAGTTTTGCCGACTGATTTGGTTTAAAAGCTATTTTAATTTGAAAAGAAATTAGTTGGTCACAGCGGAAGTGACCGCATAGCAGATATTCACTCTCCCCTGCGGTAAAGTTCTAGCTTCGCCCCTGGGGTGGGAGATGGAGTCACAAAGACAATCCCATTATCATTAGTAAACGTTACCAGTCAACTGCCGACAGCTTTGTGCAGCGGTTCTCCAAATGGCTTCCTGTGAGCCAGCCGCTTTCAGGAATCAGCGGCAACGGGCATCCGACCTTCATAGAAATACAAACAAAGAAAGCACCCAACGTTGGTATTTGACGTTTACAGGCGTCACAACAATGTTATAATAGCAACCTGAGGTTATATCATAAGGTGTCTTGTTGTTTGCGATGAATGCTGTGGGTGAATTAGTAACACCGCTGGACGCCGTGTGAAGGTATCGCGTTTTCGCACCGGACCGATAAGTTGGAAACCAATTCAGTTGGGAAATGCATTTCAGTATCTAGAATGAAAACAATGACTTTAGGGAAAGTAAAAGTATGCATGGAGCAAGGAACAGGCATTTGAGCAGCAGGCGAGTGTTCAACAAGACAATTATAAACGTTAAATACATACGGCGAAAATATCTTCAAATAAAAATATCTTGAGAAAAACTTCATTTTCTTATATGTATACATACAGAAATACATTTGTGATACGATTCTCTGATGAAGAGGTATGAATACGGTCAACAAAGCACTTGGAAAAATGAAAGGTAAAGACTGTAATATCGAAGATAAGACTACGAACCAGACCTAGACTTTTTCCTTTGATGAAAAAACAATCGATCATATTTTCGGTCGTGGACACCAAATATAATATATAGCCAAGATGATTCTCTCTAACCTCGAGCCAAGACTTCCCGATGTAATTACCATCCGTTTGAGCGATGGTAAGATGTCTTGATCGTCTCCATGTTCTTCGTTTTCATTTCTTGAATATGCGTGCCACTGGTCACAGTATTAAAGTGAACCTGGATAGAGCTTGTACGAAAGCATTTCTTTCCAACTACAATGTGAAAAGAGTTATTAGGAGTATCGAAAAATGAACTTAATGGTAAAGAATCTCCATTCATATTCCCTAACATCATTATAACTAGCTGTAATCATTGAAAACTTTTAAGAAAAGATTATTTCACATTCACATGCATTCTGATATATCCATATATGTACACAAACAGACAATTAATTCAAAGGTAAACAAACATCTGTTTTATTGTATACATATAGGTATAATCTAAACCTTGAACATATAACACGCAAAGAACGTGACGTGTACGTACGCTACGTAAATATATTCATAAATTTAAGCATTAACATTAACATATTTTGAATACATATTTATGTCCGAAAAGTCCGCGGTGATGAAAAGGTATGCAGAGACATTAATGTCGTTATTTTCATACCCAAATATATAAAAGAACATTTTTGTGTTTATCCAACTTACAGGCATGAATATGAATATTCTTATTACTGCTGAGATTCCATCAAAGACAAAATAAAGCAACAGAAGAATCGTCGTTGTCTTAGATTGAAAGCTGAACGCGAAGCAAGAAACGGACTCATGTGGCTAAACACACAAAACAAAATGGTTAACAATGGGGACTGGGCGGGTTTGTAGAAGCAGATTTAGCTTAAGTGACGGTTATCTCAAAGAGAAATTCAGTCAAATCATTCACTGCTCAGTTAATATATTAGATTATCAAACAGATTTACTCTTCGTCATGAAACATTCATTACATAAAATCTAAGTCTTTTCTTTAACAAGATTAAGATGAATGTCATCATGTTTTGAAATCTACGCCCCGTATTTAGCACTATCCATATAAGTTGACATCACAATTCCACTTCGTTAATCAATCGCTTACATACACCACATAGATTATCCTCAGACTCCACCCCGTACCTTGAACATTGTCTTCCGTGACCAATCTGTGTCGCAGTGACGAAATCCGTCTATTGATGCGGCTCATGTCTTTTGTTTTGTTTTGGCGTTTTCCGCCATCTGCTCCATTCCATAGAATGCAACTGACGATGTTTCTCGCGCACCAAAATGAAGATGTATATAATCAACATTGTCAACCGAAAATCATCAAAACCTGTCCTAAATTATTGTTGATGTTAAATGAAAAAAAATTAACACATGGTTTCATAGATTAACTTACTTAAATGATCATCACCTTGTCTAGTGTATCATCTGCATGTAAGAATTAGGCGACTTTGGTTGCTGTCTCTGAAGAGACCTTCAGATTGAAGCAATTCCATACCTTTTGATGGATTCTTGTTAAATCTTAAAGTAAATAGTAAAATTGAATAAAAAGTACAAAAGATAAACAAATTGTTATTAAACTTACAATTAAATTCCCTTTTCTCGTCTCCTCTTCTGTTTAAAGAGTCTCAAATTCTTCAGCATTGCTCGATGGCTTTTGTACTTCTGAGAGACAAGTGGCTACCCCCTTTTTGAGATTATAAACACCGTGCTCCCCTGTTTTCTTCCCTTGTTGTACCTTTACAGAAATTGTTGCGTTACTTACGATCAACCAGATCTGTCAGGAGATTTATGAAGAGATTAAACAAGAAGTATTGAGGAATAACTATGATGATTTGAAGATCAATAAAAGGGATTGCATGGATCACAAAAAGAGGTTAGCATAGATCATTAACAGATAGCCTAGATTATCTACCGGGGAGAAGATAGTATAGAATTATGAGAGATGAGCTAGAACGTGAGAATTAATAATCAGTAACTACTGGCATTAGGATTTAGCGATACAGCGACACACCAGCAAGGGGAAAAAAGATAACAAAGGGATAGACTTAGATCCTGAGAGGTTAACTACAATTGTCCAGGCAACTAGTTATGATTAAAGAACGATTAGCGTGTGTATAAGAAAATAATGGAGTACAGCCGATAAAATAGGGGATACAGAGTATATAGAAAGATGGAATCTTGATGGAGACAAAATTCTTCAGTGTAGCCGATATCAAAGAAGTACAATGGATGTAAAAGCGATAAGTTATCGAAATGTATAACAATGTTAAGAAGTTTATATTACTGTCACGAGTTTCTTTAGTTTCATAGAGATGTTAAAACTCACCAAGTGTCGGCCTCCCTGAGGGCAGGTTTAAACAAAGATCCTGCTCCGATTCTACCATACATTTAAGAATAGAAGCGAGACATTCCAGACCTTTGATACAAATGCACTTGGTTGAACCTAGGAAAATCATATAAAACAAGATGACATTGATACTATTCTTCATAAAAGCGTGATAAAAGATGTACAATCTAACGTAGCACAAAAATTAGAGACATGTTCTACTCCTTTTCATGTTGATAAGGCTATGTACGGTTTTTTCATAATGAACTCGTTCCAGTCCTTTTCAGAGTAGCATAGATATGAACAAGAAAATGTAGAGAACTAAACAGTTTGAAACATATTGTCAACTTACTGGTGTAAGCTCCTAATTCAATAGAGCTTGTGTGGGCAACTTAGACCAATCATTGATCAATCTTTGAAAGATCTCGACAAAGCCAATTCACAGTGGTAATTTAAGTATATATCAACGACAGTTGTAGCCTTCTACATCTGGAGACGAATGGACATTAATGGATAATATGAATGGATATTAATGGATGACAGGAAGATAAAATAAAAATTTAATTGTTGGTATATTGATAATTAGTAAGGAAAGAGTCCACACCTCACCTCTTGCACCGAAAAATTTACAACAAGAGGACTGTAAGAGATGAACCATAGGATGGGATTTGGAAATAAAAGATGCTTAATTGTTGTACAGGGTTAAGCAAGCCGAGGAAGTGATATTTGGAACTGGAGACAATGTTAGTGCAAGCTTTACACCCGAAGTTGACAGTTTGCACCAGCTAGAGTTCTCACTTACGTCTCAAAGTTTATAAGCAGAATGCAAACCCACAAAAAACATCTTTTAGTTCTTTTATAATAATAGTAATGCAGAACAGACAACTTCAAAGAAAGTTCAAGAATTTTTCTGGCATGTATTCATGATTCATTTGCAGTACTCTTTGATTGATATAATTCTTGCTCCAGATACGCATTTGTATGGCTAATGCAAACACGGTTTGTGTTTTCCTGTTAAGTTTTATTAGATGAAATGGTGAGTATGGATGAATGGCTGAACTGTTGTTTTGATGTCGATAAACGTTCGTGCATTAAAAAGAAACACAATTGATTTTATTAAACTTTCTGATAATCAGTGAAAGGCTCTCAATGAAAACAATAGGTTTGAAAATGACGATCATAAGTTCTGAAATTTTCATGAAGCGTGACTAAGCCCGAGGACAATCGCTTTTAGAAAATTGATCGATGGTATTTCAAATATTAGTTGTTTTTATAAATACCTTGGTAGAAGCGTTTAAACTTTAGAGTGCCACTATTTAAACAAGAGAAAAAACTTCAAACAAAGTACTAATGATTAAATGGTTTATTGCATTGAAACAAAAGGAAAAGTTCTCCATCAAATAAAAATGCAAATAACAAAACTAGAAACAGGAAACATTGAGTAATCATTGCTTCATTTAAGAAAGATATAATATCTTTTAACAGGCTCCTTTGATGAAGTTAAACTTCTCTGCACTAGGTTAAATTAATAATTTCTCATTTGGCATTTCACCGTTTTTGTTAAATACTTTCAAGTAATATATATATATTTGGATTCAGGTTGCATGAGCTACAAACGTCAGTAACTTTGAGTTAAAATGGTTGAACGAGAATACAGATTTTTGTTGAAAAGTGGTCTCCTTTCGATTTCAGTAAAACCTTTGATTCAGTTTGAAATAACATCGCGGTTGGTACCTTTTCCAATTTGACTCCTGTTACTTGGTGTCTCTTGCTTTGTTGATCAGCACAAGTTTTTATGCTTCAGCAATTACTTAGCGAGATTTTTCTTTGAAATTCGTGAACCTTTTAAATGAGTTATTATGTTGTAATTTTTCTTTGACTGATATTCCATTTAAAAAAAGGAAGTGAAAGCCAACTGTTGCGGCGCTGGCCCTCTTTGATTGAGAACAAAAAATTGAAGGTTTAAAATCACGAAATCCTGGTTGAAACAGTTTTTTTTTATACTTGGAAATTGTAAAATAAGACCACCGTGATCCTTCATAATAGACCTTTTCAGGTTATCGCGAAATACAATATTTCAGGGGTGCAGCGCTGCGCCAGGCAGCGCAGTCACAATGAAAGGCGTCCAAATTACCCATCGTCGCCGAAATTACCCATATGCAATATACATATTGGCCATTTCTTTCAAAATATTTCTCAAACTCATCCATTTAATAGTCAAACTATTGTGGCAATTTTATACACGTGGAGTCCAATTTTGTGGTGATAAAAAGCGGAAGGATTAAAAGCATTTGTTTTGAACAACTTGACCGTCGTTTGAAATGATGTTCCAGGTTCGCAAATGGCGGATCTCATATTGAGTCAAACAGAACTAAACCCTAAACTAGCCAGTAGCCGTGACGGTCTAACAGCCAAATGGTAAAAAATGGGTGCAATGCAGTTGGATATTAGAATATTGATATAAGCTATCCCTATTACCAAGTTAAGGAGTCTCATAGAAAATTTAGTTTTCATAGAGTGGCCCAAAGTCGGCACTTGCTGAAATTTGGTGAAAACAATTACAAACAGCAGAGCGGATGACTTTATCCCGAAGCCTGGTGCTGGGTACTTTCATTGCTCAAATTGTTGCCTTGATAGAAAGAACCCCCAAATAAAGGGAATTGGTTGTCCTTTGGTTTTATTACGCTATCAGAGTACGAGCAATCGGACCCAGCGGCAATGAAAGAGGAAGAAACATGGACAGCATCAAAGTTATGCCTCATCAAACTCAGCAGGTCTGATTCAAGTTTTGATGGAAGTCCAGCAAAATCTAGAGGCATCTTTACTCCTGTCCCTCTAAAAGCCCTGGATCAGGATTTTCATTCTCCTCTTGCAGAATTTTCTTTATCTTTATTTAGCTGAAAAAACCATAAAGCAAATGTTCTTACTGCAGACTTAGTCTAATATTTTAGAATTTTCCTCTGTTTTATGTAGATAAAGCATTCAGAAAGGGGGAGGACAATTAAGCTTAGGCCAAATCTAGTAAACAAACTTGGTCATGGGTGTCTAGGTATACGGACATGTACAGCTTTTGGGTGGTGCCCTAATGGAAGGACAGCCAGGTTGCTTTTGCTTAACGTTTTGAATGTGATGTTTTTACTCGTGATTAATTTCAGTTTCGAATAGAAATTGTACAAAATGTGTCGCTCGTGTCATGGTACAATATATTAATGGAAAGCGTTTACCAGCTTTCCAAGCGCCGTCCTCAGCTTGCTGTTAAGATTGAAACCTTTACGACATACGAGTTCTCCAGCACTTCGCAAAACAAAACAGTTGGTTAGATGTGATGTGGAAACATTCCGTCGTGTTTTCGTTTACCGAGTTCGTCGAGGAGTGTTGAGACACTGAAATAATGAAAAACTAAGTCAATAATATATAATGAGACATGTACGATTATTGAAAGTAAACAACTCTGACGCTACAGTGTATCGTTGCTGCACTTATAGCAATGTCAAGACATGAAGTGTATGAAAGTTCAGCTCTTGTTAAATAACGTAAAACCAGATGCAAAACTCTCAAAGAGCGCATTTGATTGGATCGCGTTGGCTTAATCCTCTCTGGAAAACAGGTTGTAGCTACATATGGTGACCCGTGGCTGTTTTTTTTAAGTAAATAGTCCGACTCCAATTGTGTATATAATAGTGTAATCTGCACGATAGACTCGGTGATCACATAAGCTCAGTTCTATGATTTGCTTCTTTCAGTATTTCGCGAAGGAAGGTAAATTCGTAAAGAAATTGCAATTTATTATTTTTACATCATCCCAGCGATTTTGTGTA